AAAACCCGACCCCCAGGTCCACTTCTCGGAATTCGATAATTTTTACATCAATAGATTCCTTATCTCCCCGCGAGTTCATACATATCAAAAGTTCTGAAATTCGACCTCAAATGGTCCTTCAAATCCTCAATCAAAAGTCTAAATTTTTAAGCCCTAGTTCTTCAAATTTTGGCTTAATTTCCATGATTATTTAGGTGGAATTCACATTAGAATCGAGTTTTACGTCCAAGAATCTTACCTCCAAGTGAATCCCCTTGAATCCCTCTTCAATCCCCTTCAAAAAGCTGCAAAAACGACCAACAATGGAGGAAATAAACCCCAAAATCGCGGACAAGATGAGTATTTAAACATTTCACCCAAGGCTTGAAATCCTTCTTCACGAACGCGGTCAAAGCCTCGCGTTCGCGAAGCATAAAAATGACTTTGACAAAAAATCCTCTACGCGAACGCGATGTGCCCATCGCGAACGTAATGACTCCTCAGCTTGACCCTTCGCAAACGCGCTCCCTCACCCGCGAACGCGATGAAAAAAAATACCTCAAAACCCAGCTGGCCAATTTCCTCTATGCGAACACGGAACAGACCTCGCGAACGCGATGAATCGTTTCCCATACCTTCGCGAACGCAGAGACTCCATCACGAACGCGAAGGCCAAAGCCTCAGCCTACTCCAGCTAACCCTTCACGATCGTGCCTCCCCTCTCGCGAACGCGAAGGGCATTGTCTGCAACACTGAGCAACAGATTTCTGCAATTCCAAACTTCATGAAATGGTTCGATTGACCACCCAAAACTCACCCGAGGCCCCCGGGACCTCTACCAAACATGCCAAAATATCCCATAACCTCATTCAAACTTGTTTCAACCTTCAGAACGCTCAAAACAATATCAAAACATCAAATTCGCATCGGATTCAAGCCTAAAAATTTTAAAATCTTCAAAATTATGCTTTTGATCGAAAACTCAACCAAACCACGTCCGAATGATCTAATATTTTGCATGCACATCCCAAATGATACAAAGGAACTACTACAACTCTCGGAATTCCATTCTGACCCCTATATCAAAATCTCGCCTACCAACCGATATATGCTTCGAACTTCGCCAATTCAAGCCTAAATCTGCTCCGAATCTCTAAAACTCATTCTGATCATGCTCCTAAGTCCTAAATCACCTCCCAAAGCTAACCGAACTATCGAAACTCACATCCGAGCCCTCTAACATATAAGTCAATATCTAGTTGACTTTTCCAACTTAAGCTTCCTCAAAAGAGACTAAGTGTCTCAAACCTTACCAAAATCATTCCGAATTCGATCTGACCAACACGATATTACATAACACAGATAAAAAAAGTATAAAGAAGTAGAAATGGGAAAAACAGAGCGGTAACTCATGAGACGATTGGCCAGGTCGTCATAATTATTCTTTAATATGTTTTATTTTCCATTATAAGAATATGTTTTATTCTTTTCTTGATTTTTTCTATAAATATTTGGCCGTATATATATATATATACACACACACAAATTCACACACACAACTCTCAATAAAAAAAAACTAAACGACCCTTCCTCTTACCATAACCCTAGAAACCAACCATGGACCCCTTTCCCAGCGCTCCCAAATGATCCTCATCTGCCTCCTATTCTAATGATAACGATGGAGAGCGAAATCCAACATTTGAAGTGCTTCTGAAAGATTCATACATTAAACAAGACTATCTGGTAAATGATATTTTATTTTTTGAAAAAATCGGCTAATCAACAATCTGCCTTTTTTATATAGCTAAGTTTACATTTCATTTAGTTAGTATTGTAAATACTGTTATAAAATGAAGTTGTTTCTTTGTCCTTGTCTTATTTTGCCAGCATATTCCAAAATGCTTCTACGAGCACATTCCTGAAGCACATACCACCGCAATTCTTCAATATGGTGGCAAAGAGTGATTTATAGGATTGCTAGTTGGTGAGCGTTGATGGCTCAAAGATGGCTGAAAAAGTTTTGTGATGAAGAATGATATCAAACAGGGGCTGTTTGGTTAAATTTGAGTTAGTTGAAATTGCACAAATCCTTGTTGTCTTCAAAATTGAAGTAAAAGGACAAGGAACTCATGAACATCCTATCGAGATTAATTAGTTTTTTAAGAACTCGTGAAGTGTTTGAATTGTTTCCTCTATTGTGGCACTTTGTTATTTTTTCCTTTTGTTAGCTGCACGTTTTAATTTCATCCAGTTATGCAATGTGTATTTTTATTTATGTTGATGTATTAATATTATGAATTTCAATCTTCATATTGGTCTTATTTACTATAATTATTTTTTTAATTATCACTCAAAAAAACTAAAATGGAAGAGATGGGTTGGTATATTATTTGTATTCAAAGAGGAACGGTTTTGAACTCTTGGGAAGTTAATGTAGTGTAAGAGTAATTGCTACATAGGAAAGTTAAAACATTAATTAGCACTATTTAATACACTCTTTTTGATCAGGCGGGTATTTAAAATATTTTTTTGGACTAGGTTGGCCCCATATATATGGTCACATACTCTAACCTAAAGACCTAAAATACACTCACATACTCAAACCCTAAACTATGGATGCCTCTTCTACCAAACAAGCCTTATCTTGCTCTTCTACTAGCACTGATGCCCTATCTTACTCTTCTACTAGCAGTGATAATGAAGAAGAGAATCCTCCGTCATTTGAAGTGGTTTTGACTGAATCAAACATCGGCTACAACGATCTGGTAAATTATTATGTCTTTTAAACTTTATTTCTTTGATTCAATTTCATATTTTCTAGGATGAAGGAAGAAGGAACTTCATACGGTTGAGATTGAATAGTTTCTAGGATGTATTTGTGTTGATGTATCCTTTTATTATTTTCTATTTTCATGTATGTTGCTTTAGTTATGGTTGTTGTGATTTATTTTGTTGAAGCATTATGTTTAAAAATTTCAATATTCATATTGGTCTTCTTTACTATAATATTTTTCATTTTTAATTATCATTCAAAAAATGGAATTGAATCATATTGGTCTTCTTTGCTTTTTTTATTTCTTCCGGATGAAATCAATTTCAAAGAATATTTTTATTTTATTTTTTTAAATCAATTCTTCTCTCGGATTCTTTTGGAATGGAGAAGACAAAATAACACATTTATTTCATCTAACACCATTTATTTCAAGTAACACCATTTATGTCAACTAACACCATTTATTTCTACCAACACCATTAATTTGCCAAATTTGCCAAAATTGAACCAAAAAAAGCCGCTCAAATTTGAAATATTTTTTGGACTTGGTTGGCCCCCCATATATAGTCACATACTCAAACCCTAAACTATGAAAAACACACTCACCTACAAACCGTAAATTATGGATGCCCCTCCCTCTACCAAACAAGTCATATCTTACTCTTCTACTAGAAGTGATAATGAAGAAGAGAGTCCTCCAACATTTTAAGTGGTTATGACTGATTCATACATCAATTACGATGATCTGGTAAATTATTATGTCTTTTAAACTTTATTTCTTTGAATATTACAATAACTTCTTGAGTTAATCTTAACTGATTTTTTTTTACATAAAATACTTTTGTTTCTTATACCTTAACTCCAGAAAATATATATGTGTTAGTATTGTATATGTTGATTCAGTTTCATATTTTCGAAACTTAATAGTAATATTTTTTTAAAGTATATTCCAAGAAAAATCTAAAAGCATCTCCCTCCAACAGTAGACACCGCACTTCTTCACTATCGTGGCAAAGAGTGGTATGTAAATATGAGCGTTGGTGATAGAAGAAGGTTCAAGGAAGGCTGGAAATTTTTTGTTTTGGACAAATATGTCAAGCGATGTTTCATCGTCAAATTTACGTTGGTTGATGTTGCACTCCTATATGTTGACTTCAATCTTGAATTGAAGGGAGAAGAAACTTCTAATAGTAATCCGGTTGAAATTGATTAGGATTTGTATCGTGTTTTTCTATCCATTTACTACATTTTGTTTTCATGTATGTTGATGTGTTAATGTTATTAAATTACAACCGTCATATTGGTCTTCTTTACCATAATAATTTTCTTTTTTAATGGAATATTTAGTAAATGCTTTTTTTTGTTAATTCTTCCTTATGGTGGCAGTGTCCTTTATATCTACCCTTTCAATATACAAAAATATTGAAAGGGGAATAAAGAGCAAAATATAGAAGAAAATAATAATAATAATAATAATAATAATAATAATAATAATAATAATAATAATAATAATATAAAATAATAGTAAATGCTTCATAGGAAAGTTAAATAGGTTAATGTATTGTAAGATCTAGTAAATGCTATATAGGGAAGTTCAATGGGTAGATTTTGTATTCAAAGAGGAACGGTTACACTGATTTTACAATGAACTCTTGGAGTATTTGGTTGAAGTTAGGGCTAGAAATTGGTTGCAGTTGAATGTTGAAATTTTTTGGAGAAAAAAACGTGCAACGTAAGATTTTAAGGTAGGGATACCAAGATAGGTATTGAAGGTAGGGTTTTAAGTTGAATGTTGAAAGTAGGGTTGAAGGGTAGGGTTTTAGTAACTAAATGTGAGTATTTTAGTTCTTAGTTTGAACTGATTATAATGTTCTGAAGTCTTTTACTTCTGTACTAGTTGCAACTAATCACACTTTGTTAGTCTAGTCCTCTAAACTAAAATGAAGTAACAATAAAATGAAGAAATATTTAACAATGACAATTATAATACCACACATTTAAATTATTACAAAACAAAGTCAAAAGAATTCAAAAAAAATCTATCTCAAATCAAATTAAATAAGATTCAAACTTAAATCATCTCAAACTAAACGGTCAAGTCTTCTATTTGTCAGTTTGCTTCATCATTTAGATCAGGCAAGCTACTCTGTGGTGGTACTGTTGCATCATCTTATTGTATAGAGTAAATAACACTAATAAGCAATGTATTTTTCGAAAAAAAATATAATAATAATTTGTTATACTTTACCTCAATTCCTTCTGCTAGTTCAATATTTCCACCACCTCTGCCACCACTTCTATCACCACCTCTGCCACCACCTCTACCACCACATCTACTCATCCTATTACCTCTAACTCCACTTCCACCACCCGTTTGTGAACTTCTAAAGTATGAATCAATTCGCCCTCTATATCTATTCAACCTTCGACGTCCACGAGAAGCTACGTATCTAGGATCTCTTATATTTCTTCCTTCACCTTCATCCTCACCCTCACTCTCACCCTCACCCTCACCCTCACCCTCACCCTCACCCTCACCCTCACCCTCACCCTCACCCCCACCCTTACCATCACCCACACCATCATTTGTATCTTCCAATTCTTAATTTGGAACTATCATATGATCATCATCCCAATTGAAAAGGTCATGCTCCAATATACTCAAATGATACTTAATATATCTCCTCATCACTTCAGTGTCCAATGCAATATCACAAATCCGTTCAAAATGCTTTAATAGTTCCCTGTATATCATGTATTAAGAAGTCATACGTGGGTAACCTCCAAGAAAGAAACGTTTCAAGTGTGTACGAACAATATCTTTTCTCCACCTTCTCAATATATACCACTCATTAACGTTTTTAATCCTCTTATGAGACAACACCTTAAGTATATGGCAGCATAGAATACCTCTTGTTTCAAACCGCTTGCAACTGCAACTTAGATATTTACCAATAGGTGTATATTCAACCGTGAATATAAATGGATCTCTAGTGTTAAAACTCCTGAACGAATAATCTGCAATAATGTAATTCTCCACTCCAGTTGTTGCTTGATGGTCTTTAGGGGTGTTGATTTCATAATGGTACATTTTCCTTAACTGTACTTGAAAAAATTCAAACACTTCACGAGTATAACATGTTTGAAATTTTTTCTCCCATGCAAATTCAGATAAACATTTTGGTTCAAAGCACCTTGACCTATATTCAGCTTCCAATTCTTTCTCGAACTTAACTCTTATGACTAACTCATATTGCTGAATAAATAGCTTCAAAGTGCTTTGGCGGGTGATGAATCCGTCAAAGAAAGCATGCATTCCTTCACTTCTTTGTGTGGACAATATCCCAGCCCAAAAGTGGTTATTTAGGTATACAGGAACCCATTTCTCCTTCTCCAAATAAAGCTTATAAAACCAATCCTTTCCATCTAAGTTATAATTTTCAATATAATCAGTCCATTGTCTCTCAAACTCAGTAACGTTAATGCTATCAAGAACTAAAGCCTTAAATTCTGCCTTTGCAATCTTACCATCAAGAACTCTGCTTAACTTTGTAGGCAACTTTGCGAATATGTGCCATATACAATATCAATGTACCGTATTTGGCATCAATGCATTGATGGCAGCCTTAATACTATCACATTGGTCAGTCATGATAGCTAATGGATGAACATTGTTTAGAGCCCCAAGCCATGTAGATAGCACCATTTTGTAACTTGTTATATCCTCACTAGACATGAGAGCACATCCCAAAAGTATGGACTGTCTATGCTGATTGACACCAACAAATGAAGCAAATGACATATTGTATCGATTCACAAGGCATGTGGTATCAAGGCATATTACATCATGGAACTCCTCATATGCAACCTTAGAGTGTGAATGAACCCATACGACATTACGAAGTCGACCAAAACTATCCATATCTACGGAGTAGTAAAATTCCCTATCTTTTTGTTGCATGTCACTGAAGAACTTGAGTAATGATTGTGCATCCCCTTCTTCTGAAGCTTTCTACTATTCAAAATATAATTTTTACAGTCCATTGGTGTACAACCCAGATTTTCGGGACCACCATCAAGTACTTCAGCGACTCTTATATTTTTTGAGGGTCTTAAGCCAGCAATATCTTTGGCTGCAAGAGTTCTCTTAAGAGACTTATTAAGCGATCTGTGTCTAGCCATCAATCGCAATAGTGCTGGTTCAAATTGATGATTATGTTTTTTAACCACCTTTGAAACACGCCATGAACCATTCTCCTCTAAAATTTCATTTATTCTAGCACGGCAGTTCCTCCTCTTGGTAACATGCTTATTCCTTGGTTTCTTAGACCTATCACAGCCATATTGCACATACCTAACAATATCACCACTTTTTTTGTTTGATGTTCTTTTGACAAAGCAAAACCCCGATAATCTTGCATGTTCTTTGTAAAAATCAAACATAACATCCTTACTACTGAACCGCATCCCAATAATTGGACCAATTATAAATTCTTCTTCATTGAACTCATTAGGCATTTCCCTGTCCTCTCCAACTTCTCCTTCTTCCTCTAAATAATGGTCGTCGTCATCATCATCATCAGCAACAGCAGCATCGTCACCATGATTTTCTCCATCGTTAAAGTTGTCGTCTGAATCAATGTCGATAGACTCATCTTCATTTATCAAACAGTCGTCCGAATTCAACCTCAGTGATATGTGTAATGCATTCGTTAGTTGCTCCGACCTAGTTTCTAGGCTGTTATTCGGGTTTAATAGCTCCAAATTAGTTTCTAGGTTAGCATTCATGTTTAGGTTGAGGGAAGGGTGGTGAATTATGTGTTTAATGAAAGCTCTCTTAACATAAGTATATGGTATGACACGGAATAACGTATAAATGAAAAAATAATATTATGTATACATAAGACTTTTGATCTTCCCATCCGTATAAATTGCATTTTTAAAAAAATACGTAGTTGTATTTAAAAAAAATACGTAATGAGAGAATATACGAAGGTTGCCATCCATATATACGAAGGCTTTTTATCTTCTTATGCATGAGAGAATGATGATTTATGGGATCAATGTTTTGGGATAATCAAAATTTATTAACTAATTTTGGAGGAAAATATTTTGGAGGGAAAAATGGCCATTAAGTCAAATGTGAAATGAAGGGCTTTACTGATATTTCACGAGTGTGGTCATTGTTGGGCCACGTTGAGTTTGGCCGAATAGCAGCACTCTATTATTAAGCACAATATAATGATAGCCAATAGATATGAAATTTGGTGAGTATGATTTAATTTGTTATGCACAAAGTGTCGTTGCCGGCTTGCCGCGGTCGACCTTTATGTTTTACTTGTGATTTGTGAAGTTTTATTTTGTCAATGCATACATGAAAACATATACAATAAGATTGCAGAACTGTTTCCTTTATACTACTACTTACTTCTTGCCATTTTTTTTGTTGAATACCATTTTCCCCTTTCACTTTCTAAACTTTGTGTTAAAGGCTTAACAAGAGTTACTTTTCTTAAATTCATTGAATCTAACACAATGTTTCCTTTTCATATTTACCATATTATTTCCAGCTACCTATGATAAGCATCTCTGAAAATGCCATTATGGCTTGTAATGACTTTATCCGTACTTAGTATTAAATAAATTCTCCCCTCTTTCAAAAAAAAAAATATTATTTCCAGCTACATATGCTTTAGTACTAAATATCTCTATAGTTTTTCCATTTTCTCATCAAGCATAATTTTTTTTTATGACTGCAAGATTTTCGGCTGACCTCAAAAAAAAATAATATGAACATGCCCTTTACCTATGTTATTTAATCAAAGAAAACTATACATAAACAAAATTGTAAACCGAACAATTAAAGAGATGTCATAAAAATGTCAACAATCGGAGTAGAAATGGCACAAGGTAGCCGATTTTTACGGCACCGTGTATATATTTCGTTTTTAAAAATTATTTAAAGTTTACTAATATTGTTTCTTTTTCTTCTTCTTCAAACTCCACGTAGCCGTGTAAATACATATCGATACCGTTACAGTACTTAAAAAAGCCTACAAACCCCTCATGAATATACTTAAAAAAGAAGTTAGATTTTCAGATATAGAGAACCAACCACAAACGTATGTCAAAATCATCAAATGTTGAGGGATCAAATGCTAATTATAATTAGTTCGTACTTTTCACTACCATTCTCTTTGGTTCTGGAATAAACCTATATATGATGACCTGTAGTATAAATGTAAAAACTCGATCAGGCATCATCAAATTTAAAATCAACGCATAAAAATTCATTACACTAATTGATGCTTATAAAATAAAAATAACAACGACAATCTTAAATCTCTGACTGGTGGTGTTATTCTCCAACGGAAACATATGAATTTCCTAATTTCAGTTTTAATATACTAATATGTTATGATTTATCTATGTTGCCACAGTGTTTTACACGTAAATAAGAAAAATACTGAATGTGGTGGATGAATCATTCCATTCATGGGGATCAGCATTCCTCTTTCATGCAATTAACAAATCCCTTTATTTATTCCAACTAAAAAAAGTCTCTTTATTTGTGGTAGACGGCTACGTTGAGCGCAGTGATACAGATAAATATAATGTTAGTTATTTGATAAAAGTTAAATAATATAATGTTATTTCTGATATAAATATCTGATAAAAGTTATTTCTAATTTAATGTTAGTGTGTATAGAAATACTATAAATGAGAACTAAGCGTGCTAACTTAAATTTAATTCTTTAAACTCTTAAACAATTGAAGGTTAGACGTTTGGGGCTAGCAAGCTACAGTAAAAAAATTCTCTCTCTTTTTCGTCATAGTTATGGTTTATTTATTTTTAATTTCCTATATTTCCCTTTTCTCCTATTTTTTTTCCCTGCTTGTTTCTTTTCCTCTTTAACTTTTCCTTTCATTATCCCTTTTCCGTTTCCATTATTTTATATATTTCTGTCATGACCCGGACTTTCCACCCTCGGAAGTCGTGATAGCGCCTACTCGTGAAAGCTAGGCAAGCCGAGTGTTATAAATCTTATTACCCTTTTTCCTTAACCTTTTTAACAATTTCAAATTAACATGCGATCAACAGCGGAATAATAATAATAATAATAATAATAATAATAATAATAATAATAATAATAATAATAATAATAAAAGAAATGCGGACGAAATCTGATAACTTAACCAAATACTAGTGCGAAAAATACAAAATACAACTCTACCCCGAACTGGTGTCACAATATCACGGACTATCTACGAATACTACAAACAGTAGTTTGTAAAGAAAGATACAAGTCTATCTCTGAAGTAAATGAAAACAGAATATAAAAGATAGAAGGGGACGCCAAGGCATGCGGACGTCTACAGGACTATCTTGGATCTCCGCTGGACCGAAGGCAACAACCTCGCTAAGGTCCAAAAGCTATGGTACCGAGATCTGCATACAGTGCAGAGTGTAGTATTAGCACAATCGACCCCATGTGCTGGTAAGTATCGAGTCTAACCTCGGTGAAGTAGTGACGAGGCTAGGACAAGACTACCAAATAAACCTGTGCAGTTAAAGCATATACGGCAAGTAATAATAACGGGAGCAGTTAAAGATAAGCAGCGGAACATGTTGCGGGGAATATCAAGTACCAACAGAATCTCAGGAGAAAAACATAAAAAAAACATCTTAAATTTCGCATCAGTAAGAATAAGGAAAACAGTAACGAATCAATGTCCAATTTTATTCTTTATTATTGCGGCGCGCAACCCGATCCAAATCATATAACACTGTTGCGGCGTGCAACCCGATCCAAATCATAGAATACTGTTGTGGCGTCCAACCCGATCCAAATCATATATCACTATTGCGGCGTGCAACCCGACCCCTCTTGTCCTCCCTTATTACTTCTTGTTGCGGTGTGCAACCCCATCCCATATAATATTGTTGCGGCATGCAACCCGATCCCAATATACAAATCAACACCAATCACAAAAGAATCCCGGCAAGGGAGCATTAAGAAAACAACAATATCCCGGCAAGAGAATCAACAACAAGAATAAACATATCCCGGCAAGGGAACCAACAGTAAGAATTAAATACGTCTCGGCAAGGGAATCAGCTATAACCAAACTTATACCAATAATTAACTTCACAAATGATACCTCAACTGGAGCCAATGCTCAACAATAAACAAATACCACGAAGATAATCATAATTCTTGCCCAATACGGAGAATCAACAATTTAAGCATTTGTAGTACTTATTAAGAAACACAACGATTACAATTTAAGACTCACTGCATGCTTGACAACGACGTATAGATACTCGTCACCACACCTATATGTCGTACACTACACTAGCATATAGCAAATAAAGCACAATACTTATTTCCTCAAGCTAAGTTTAGACCAAACACTTACCTCGAACTTTCACGGCCAAATCAAACCTCAAACACCGCTTTTCCTTTAGATTTCGCCTCCAATTTACTTGTATCTAGCCCAAATTAATTTAACAACATCAATAAATGCTAAAGAATTCATATTCAATGCTTAATTATAAGTTTTCTATCATTTCCCCCAAAAAGTTAAAAATTGACCCCGGGCCCGCTTGGTCAAACCTCGAGGTTCGGACCAAAAATCGATTACCCATTCACCCACAAGCTCGAATATGCAATTAATTTGAAATTCGACCCCAAAACGAGGTCTAAATTCTAACTATTCAAAAAGCCCTAACTTTACCCAAATTCCCAATTTCTATCATGAAAATTCTTGATTTTTGATTAAAACTTGATGAAAAACGTTGGGTAATTGAAAGAGTAAAGTTTAGAATTAATTACCAATACTTTGGGGATGAATTTGTGTGAAGAAAATCGCCTCTAGGTCTTGGTAGTTTGAAAATATGATAAAAATGAGTTTTGCCCA